CCCATTAAAACAATACAATTACAGATAATACATATTACATACATTAAATAGTAATAAAATCCTAAATAATAATAATAATAAATTAATTTAAATACATAAATATTTAAAACAATTAAAAATTACTCCTCACATATACATAAATGGATAGAAAAATCTGATGGAGAAGTAATCCATTCTACATTTAGTCTGTTAGCAGATCTTGTTGCTCTAGGAATAAAAGAGTGAGAACCATAATTTGTTCTATGAAAAGGTTGAGAGAATGTATTAATATTCCTAGTTACTCTAGAGGGTACAGAAAATCCAATTTGGGATAACAAGTATGGACAATCGGCAGATGAGTTAATAATGTTAAACAATATTTTAAGATCCCTTTGGTTTCTTCTGCTCAGAAGGGTCTCAAGATGACAAAGTGTGTGTAATTCGTCATAATTGTATCTGAAGTTGACCGGGACAATACCCGATTTAAATGCAACAATGCGTAAAAATTTTCTTTGAACCTGTTCTATATTATGGATTAGATAGACATAAAAAGGATTCCATACAGAAGAAGCATATTCAATATAAGGTCTAACTAAGGCACAATAAAGAATCTTTAAACACATCACATTATGAAAATCAGAAGTAGTTCTTCTAAGGAAACCCAACATTCTTAATGCTTTATTAACTGAGGCTGTTATATGAGTTTGAAAAGAAAGGGTGGAGTCTAATATCACACCCAAATCTTTTACTTCTGTAATAGTATCCAGTGTTATGTCATTGATTTTATAGATATATTCAATAGGACTATGTTTTCTGTTGAAATTGATTGCATGACATTTACTTGTATTTAATTTCATTCCATTAGTACTACACCATTGGACCAAGTTATCAAAGTCTTTTTGAAGGCAAATACAATCACGTAAGGAATTTACACGCATGAATAAATTTAAATCATCAGCAAAGCAAAGGAACTGAGAATTCTTAGAACAATTTTGGATGTCATTGTTATATATATTAAAAAGTAGAGGTCCCAAATGTGAACCTTGAGGGACACCAGATGTAGTGGTAAAGCCAGAGGATAAGAAACCAGAAACACGAACAATTTGAATGCGGTTTGTTATAAAGCATTCGATCCATTTCAGAAGATTACCACCAATGCCAATGTTACTAAGCTTTCCAATCAAGCAATTGTGGTTAACTCTGTCGAATGCCTTTGAAAAATCAGTGTATATAGCATGAACTTGATCATTAGAATCCAAGGCATTCGATAAGTAATCAACATAAGACAACAAGTTAAGTTCAGTGGACTTTTTGGAGCGGAAACCAAACTGCTGATCTATGATGAAAGGATCAAGCAGTTTCGATAAATACTTTGTAATAATACTATCAAAGAGTTTAGGAATCACACTTTGAATGCATATTGGCCTGTAATTAGTTACATTTGATTTGTCGCTCGATTTGTAAATCGGTACAGTAAAACTTGATTTCCAGTAATTAGGAAACATTCCATTATGAAGTGAAACATTAAAGATAATATGCAGTGGACGGGATATAACATAACAACAAGTTTTCAATAAGGAAGGTGGCAAGCCATCAGGACCTGATCCCTTACTCATATCTAAACAGCTCAGATGTTCAAATATTTCTGAAATAGATATTTGATAATTTGCAACATTTAAATGGGTTGAATATGGTTTATCATATTATTATGGCATGGTTGATTGCTATAGACTGAGCTAAAGTAATCCTGAAACATATTAGCTAAATCTGTACCCATAGAGCATCTAGTGTTGTTATAGTACATTTCGTTGGGTAACTCATTACTTTTTCTTTTTGAATTGACAAAATTCCAAAATGTTTTAATATCATTACCAACAGATGATTCAGTAAGTTTAATGTAATCATTGTAATTCTGTTTAGACTTAAGTTTACATTGAGAGCGCAAGTTAGAGAATACCATGTAGTCGTTAGAAGATCCACTAAATTTAAATCTAAGGTGTGCCTCCTTCTTTAGAATTATGAGATTTTTCAATTCAGGTGAAAACCATCTGGGAAATCGTCGAATGGATAATTTTTTCAATGGTACAAAGGAATGAATGACAGAATACACAAAATCGTAAAAAATATTTACCATTTCATCAAGTGATTTATTTAAGAATAGTGAATCCCACTGAATTAATCCCAGATGATGTTCAATGGATCGAAAATCTGCGAATTTGTAATCATAGTAATACTCATTAGGTACATGTGACGAGTTACAATAATTTACAGCAAGGTTCAAGTGTATAAGTAATGGGGGATGATATTTATCGACATTAATTAGAGCATCACTAGCGAGAGAGGTGGTTGTTGAAGATTGATAAGAAAAAAACTAAATCTAAAGTAGTATTGTAATCATTCCGAACTGCATTGTTCTGAAAGAAGTTGTGAAAAGCACACATATTGGAGATAGTATTAATCGCAGCAGTTTCATCAGCTCTAGTTCCAGGTCCCAAGGAAGAGGTAGCAGTTGAGCATAGATTATTTGACATCCATATGGCCTTAGGTAAATTGAAGTCGCCCAAAATGCAAAATTGTGCATGAGGATACATCTCTGACAAATTATCCAAGTTTTCAGTGAACGAAACATATTTATCATTTGGTGACATTGGAGGAAAGTAAGCAGCTCCTAAAATAAGAGTACTTTTACCATTGCCTATGAGGACAAATAACTGTTCAATTTCTTGTGTAGAGTTGAGCAAACTACTTCGTATAGATTTGGAAACTGCTATAAGAACTCCACCTCCTCTGGAGGATGAGCTGGTTTGTGCAGATCTGTCCTGCGGTAAATGTTGAAATTTTCAAATCCAAGTTCGGCATCACTAAAGTTTTCTGTCAGCCAAGTTTCGGTGAAAACAATGATTTCGTGGGATACAGTTGCTACATCAGAAATAAGTTTACTTAGCTTTGTTCTTAATCCTCTAACGTTTTGGTAGTAAATGGAGCTAGGAGAGAACTTAATAGAAGGTGGGCTCTGATTGGTTAGTTTTTTGGATTCAAACTAATTATTTTTGGACATCCATTTATAAATTTGATAATAAGATTATTTTCTCCTTTTTCACGTCGTTTGTATAGTTCTTCTTTGACAAGTTTTTCTGATTCCATTTGTTTACGTGTCAGATCAAAATTGAGAAAGATATGCTTTCCTTTAAGTTTATACCGATTTTTAATAACATTATGCACATCATAAGTAGAATTAAAAGTTATTTTAAGAGCCCTTGCCCCTTTAGAATTATGTTTTCCTAATCGCTGTAGTCTTATAATTGATGGAGGTGAGTTAATTAAATCCTGTAAAATTTCGATTACCTTGGATTTGTCATCATTACTTTCTGGTAGGTTAAACACCATCAGATTGTTGGATTTTCTCCTTCGTTCTTCCACTTCAGTAAGCATTAATTCATCAGATACATGAGGTGAGGAGCTATTGCTAGTTGTGGTTTGGATATTTTGTATCTGAACACGTAAATCGTCTATTAACTTGATTAATTGATTTTGATTTACTGAGTTTGATGAATCAGTTTCTATTAGAGAGGTAGTTGTTGTTGAATTACTGTCATAAAGTTTATTACGAAGATCCTTTAATTCTGTAGTGTAGATTGTGTTTTCATTCTCCAGAGTATTTATGGAACCTAACATTTGTTTATTGATAGTAGACAACTCATCCATATCCTTCATCAGTTTTTTGTATGATTCAGAAGAATTTACTAACTGATTTTGCAAAGTATCACAGTTTTTTCTAAGTGCGATTAGGTCATTATTTAACTCGGCATTGCGATCTCTTTGTTCAATAAGTCGCGAGTTTAGATCCTGTTCCACATCTGAAGCGGCATCTGTAAAATCAGCTGTTTGACGTTTCAGTCTCTTTATATAATTGTCTTTATCAGCTAAGTCAACCTTCAATTTCTGGATATCCTCTTCCAGGTTATTAATTTTGTCTTCATCATCGTCAGATGTTGTTTGGCATTTTTTAGAGCAGTATATTTTGTACCCTTTAATCCTAACTACCTCGTTGTTACGGTCCAGACAGCTGGGATGAAAGATGCCATTGCAAACTATGCAGCAATAATTTGTAAATTCCTTTAGACGACAGCATCTAAAGTTTTTCTCCATATTTGAGACGCACCAATGTTGAATGTAAAAGACGAACAAAGAATAATTAAAATGAAAGATGATCTCAAAAACTTGACTTTTTAACAGATACTTTTAATTTTAATGTAAATTGTAGCAATTAAAACTGGTACACCACTGGCACTCTGGAAACAATGTTTGTAGCCATATTGCATGTTTAGTCAATTTTTAAGTTGCTCAAAGTCATCTATCTCTTCTACAGGTATAGTCTGAAGAATATCTTCGAAGGACGATGGTCAAATTTACTGCCTTTTCTCTTTTAGACCTTTCATTAGCTCTCACAGCTGTTTCGAACTGTTTCAATTAATTGATCCACGACATCTTTCGGTCTAAAGTTAGAGATTTAACGCGAGAAGAGCTTATAATCCCTTCCAGTTTCGGATTTAACTGCTCCCTTATTTCATCTTTCTTGTGCTCTTCTATATCCTCGACACCTTGCCTTTCTGTTTTCGTAAAATCCTATATTTTCCTCTCCTTGTTTTTTATTTTCTCCTCAACGGAAGACAACTTATTCTCTATCAGCAGAAATTTTATTTCTCATAGTAGACATTTTACTTTCCAAGTCTGAATAAATTTCAAAAAGTCAGTCATTAGTTAATTTTTAATTGATTTCATTATTTTAAATAATATATAATGTAAATACAAGTGGCACATTTTGAACTATAATTGGAAAAGGTGTGGGTATTGTAACCTTTGAAATAGAGATTTTTCTGTACATACATAATATGTTAAATAAATACATCGTAACTATAATGTAATGGTCGATGAGATAAGGTTTTACTAACTCTTAAGAGATATACAAATTTGAATGACAGTTTTTTAATAGAGTTACAAATATTTTTTTGATTACTTACATCTAACCTCCTCAAACGGGCATCGATATTCATCCTTTCTACTCTCAACTGAGCTGGAAGTGTAAATTTCAAAATTGTAGAAGTTCCGATTTTTAAATCCTTTAAATTTAACCTAAAAAACAAAAAGTATTATGAATGGTTCTTTATGTTTATAAAATAAAACGATATTAATTCAATTTAGTGGACTGTATTCTTTAATTTTGTCAAACGGGGTTAAGTGAATCACAAAAAGCTGTTTTTCTCAGAATATTTATAACTCCATGCATTGTTTAGTGGTGTAGATTTAAAGATTTTTTCGTAATATCACATGTACTATTTTCGTTTGTCTTACTATTATTTATTTTCTTTGATATTTCAATGTTATTAATTTCGCAAAAATTGTTATTAATGGAAACATTTTAGTCTGGATTTTAGTAGTAAAATAAATATACTTATTATGCTTGTTTTTAGATTTACAAGCAATATTTGGCTATCACTTGTAGGACTTGATGAAAATAAAGGTATCCCAAAAAGAGTGTTATGCTCAGAGTATTTTGAAGGTTTTGGATATATTAATTTTAGAAACTGTAAAAACCTTATAATATATTCAATTTTTTAGGAGATCACATTTTTGATAGCGATATTTTTGAAAAATCACGCACTAGATCTAATAAAGCTGATATTAAAACTTATTTCAATATTCGCATTAATTTTGAGACCACAAAAAAGTTGGATATTTTAAGTAAAATAAAATTGAAGTATAAGTACAAAAAGAGTATTGTTTAGAAACGAAAAATAGTTGTTTTTCAAAGCCTAGCACTAACGCAGGTTTATTGTTGTATAGTTCTACGTGTATTGATTTATTAACATTTATAAATGTATTAATCTTGAAAATCTGAAGTTTGATTTAAAAATCTCTCATTATTACCAATTTGTAAAACTGTTCAAATTAACTCCAAAATTAGATTCGTAAATTTGTTTAAAATAAATCTTGATTTATTTATCTTGTTTATTGTATTTTATTTTGTTTAACATTTTTATTTGTAATCTTAATATATATATATAATGCTAGCGTAGAATATGTGTGTGACCGGTTTTCTTTATCACCACCAACTCCAACAACATCACCATTGGGGTGGTAAACACCCCTTGGGTCCTAGAAGGAAGTAAGGGAGTTTGGGCGCGGTGGGTGGAAATGGGTGGTTGTGGGAGGCAAAAATGTGATAAGATATATATCTGTCCTTTTCTAACTCATTAGAACTTCGGGAAAGTTCTGAAAATTTCTAGAATGATCTAGAAAGTTCCGAAATTAATATTATCCGTTATTATCATTCTGGAACGTTCTAGAAAATTCTAAAAATTTCTGGAATGATCTAGAAAGTTCCGAAATTATAATATTGGTTATTATCATTCTGAAACGATCCAGAAAATTCTAAAAATTTCTGGAATGATCTAGAAAGTTCCGAAATTAATAATATCGGTTATTATTGTTCTGAAACAATCCAGAAAATTCTAAAAATTTCTCGAATGTACTAGAAAGTTCCGAAATTAATCATATCGGTTATTATCATTCTGAAAGGATCCAGAAAGTTCTTAAAATTTCTGGAATGATCTAGAAAGTTCCAAAATGTGTAAAATCGGTTATTATCATTCTGAAACGTTCCAGAAAGTTCATAAAAATTCTATAATGATCGAGAAAAGTCCGAAATTTGTATGAGTATTATGATAATCGATCTAAAAGAGCTAAATGTAAGTGATGTGCATCTAAATATTCTATTAAATAGAAATTTCTATTAATTATCATTCTGGAACGTTCCAGAAAATTCTAAAAATTTCTGGAATGATCTAGAAAGTTCCGAAATTAATAATATTGGTTATTATCATTCTGGAACGTTCCAGAAAATTTTAAAATTTTTTGGAATGATCTAGAAAGTTCCGAAATTAATAATATTGGTTATTATCATTCTGAAACGATCCAGAAAATTCTAAAAATTTCTGGAATGATCTAGAAAGTTCCGAAATTAATAATATCGGTTATTATTATTCTGAAACGATCCAGAAAATTCTAAAAATTTCTCGAATGATCTAGAAAGTTCCGAAATTAATAATATCGGTTATTATTATTCTGAAACGATCCAGAAAATTCTAAAAATTTCTCGAATGATCTAGAAAGTTCCGAAATTAATAATATCGGTTATTATCATTCTGAAAGGATCCAGAAAATTTTAAAAATTTCTGGAATGATCTAGAAAGTTCAAAAATGTGTAAAATCGGTTATTATCATTCTGGAACGTTCCAGAAAGTTCATAAAAATTCTATAATGATCGAGAAAGGTCATAAGTTTTAATATCTAAGATAGGAATCTATAATATCTACATTAAAAATTTGTCTTCATGTATTTTTTACACCATTAAACATGCGGTGTATATTTTAACCCATGCAACGTCGGGTTTCGCAGCTAGTAAATATTATATTATTCTTGAAAAAAATAATAAATAGTGTTTTTGTTTTTTACCTACATTTAACTCAACTGTATACCCTTAATCCTTTTTATATTTAACTTACACAAAATTAGTTTTTACTGCAATTTAATAATCTTTTTCGCACAAAAATCGAGGAGTTTATCTTTAATAAGATACGCCACTGGAAACGACAGACTTTTAGTTGCGTGTAACAGCAGCGTTGCCAGACGAGATCTAGGGTTGCAGACTGTCTTCTTTCAATCCGCATAAAATATCTTCTTTCTTTTTCTAATGATTGGGACCAAACAATTGATATGTTATGAATGAAATGCTTTATCTGTTGTTTCTTTTATCTATGACTACAAACAAATCAAAATGCTTACTCCCTACCTACTGATTCAGCCCTTCATCTTGTTGCTGGCCGGATATAGAGATCTCTAGACAATAAGAAGTCCGCATTGGGTCCGACCTTCCCAAGATAATACACTCACTAACCAATTAAACAATGACCTTGACCTTTAATTTTCTTTTGTGTTTTTCTGTTATTTTGTATATGTTAATGTCCGTTCATACTTTTATAATTGTTTTTATTACAACTGACTCCTTGACATTCCATTTAGGTGTGCCTGATGATGAAGTAATAGCTTCGAAACCGGTCGCCAATTAAAATTGACTTGTGAGAAATAAAGGACCTTTTCTTAACCCCTTATACTTAAATATCGGACTGTCGATTCTACAGCGTGGAAGACGAATCTGCAGAGCATATTTTATGTACTTGCTCCGCTTTGGAAAGAACCAGGTTCCAGATTTTCGGATTTACCCGTCTGGAGCCTACCGACTTTAAACAAGTTTCACCCAATTCAACCATGGTCTTCATCAAAAGGTGTGGCCTGTACGGTGAACTATAAGTTAGTCGTGAGCCACTATAGATTCATTTGAATCGCAGGGGAAGGGTAATGAGATCATCCCACTCATTTTCAATCTAACCTAACCAATAAGAACGTTCCATATATGATTAATGGGTGGATACATAAGATGCTCCCAAAGAGAGCAGTAAATAAAAGTGTAAGAGATGTAAATATAAGAGGTTTGGTTGCAAGGGGATATCCTCAGGGAGGGATATGCTATCACCCTACTGTGAAACATGGTCCTCGACATCCTCATCAGCTGTCCCAATAATAAGTCACTACGCAATAGCGTATGCAGATGAGCTAGTCATTCTTAATTTTAAGAACATACTCTGCGAAAGAATGCAAGTAGCTTTCAAAAGTATTGAACAGTAGTGCAAGGACCATTCACTGTATATCAATGGTCCTTCTCATAAAGAAAAAGTGAAAATGGAATTAAAACTAAACTTTGCAACAAAAGTGAAGTACCTAGGTATCACCTTTAGATAAAAGAGACCAGAGATATAACATACACCGGTTTTAAACCTGCGCAAATGTTGCCAATTTCTAAAGAAGGGTTAACGGAGTGGGGGAACTGGGCGGCGACACGCGGCGACCCGAACTCTGTGACAGGGACCGGACTTTGTTTATTAGCAACTTAATGAACTATTAGGTTTATTTAAAAGGTGTTTAATCGAATTTTGTATTATGAAATCAAATTATCGTGATTTTTTAATATCAAACAGATGCCACGACATTTTATGTAAAGAGAAGACCTTTTATAGAATATTTCGTTAGCGTTTATTTACTACGGACTTTTCTGCAAGAGATTACAGTAAAATGTTGAAATAGAATATATTGTTAATAGAGCAAAAAATGTTACTTATTGTCTACGAGTATTATAAAAATAGCATGTGCGCAGGCTAATACTGCAAATCTACCCTTATGAGTTGAACATTATATTTTTTCTACGGCTATTACATATTATTAAAAATTAGTCAAAATGAGAAAATGCTGTTTTGTATTGTAACCTCAGAAAAAGTATATTAAGGCTTCTTTCTTTAAAAATATTATTTATTATAAAGGATGAGTCACATAAAACTCTAGAAATGCATATGTCTGAAACCAGATAACATTTTAAAATTTAAATCTATTAAAAGTCATTTGGTCGCTAGGGATGAGTGATTATCGAAATAAATTATCGATAATTGAAAATAATCGATTATTTTCGATCAATAGATTATTTTCAAACAATATATTTTTTGTCATTTCCTTTAAAATCGACTACTTGATTATCTTTGAAAAATCAAAAATAATCGATTAATTAAAAAGCCAATTAACCGATAAATCAGTGTTTACAAAATATAATATAAATAGAATTATCGTTTATTTTAAATAATCGATTATTTTCAAATAAACCATTTTTTTTTCGTCCATGGAAACAGATTATTCGATAATCTTTGAAAAATCGAAAATAATCAATTAATTAAAAAGTCGATTAACTGATAAATCGATTTAAAAAAAAAAACAGAATGATAGATTATTTTAAATAATTGATTATTTTCGACCAATCGATTATTATCAATAATCTATTTTTATTGTATTTCCTTTAAAATCGTTAATTCGATTATCTTTGAAATACCGAAAACAATCGATAATTCCAAAATAATCGCCTAATCGAAAATAATCAATTAATTAAGAAGCTGATTCTATGATAAATCGATTATTACCAATAATCTATTTTATTGTATTTCAAAAATATTCGATTAATTAAAAAGTCGATT